ATTTACATGATATAATTTGTAGTAAAAAAATAAAGCTGTGTAATTATCCAGATGAAAATGAGTGACTTTTATTAAAAAAGACCTATTCATTGTACAATGTGTAGGTTTGTTTTTATGTTTTGCTTATGATCTCCCTTAAAATTCCCGCCCTAATTAATATTCATGATTGAATGAATGAATAAATTAGGCCACCTCCATATAAAGACCACCTGTCTATAAAGGACAGTTTGGCTCAGTCCACTGACTGTCCTTTATAGACAGGTTTGACTGTATAACAAAGGGCAAGGTCACCAGAGTTCAACTATGTTTTTTATTCAAGTGTAGAAAAGACCCCTGGGCGTGTGCCCAAACATGACCTCAATTTCATTATTGTATTGCAAAATTGGGGGGTGGGTGTTTGCCCTGGCATGGGCTCTTACCCGGACATGGGCGCTTATCAGACAACTACGGTAAATGTAAATGCACATTGTAATGCTGTTAGTTAACTCCAGATTCACTGTTTTGTAAGGATGGGCGATATTTTACATAAGGTGATCTGCTACCCACTCAAACGCCTTCAAGCAATAGATACACAAGATTAAATTCGAGTAGTATGTTTGCAAATACTTAACAGTGATATTAAATGCAATTCAGGTTTCTATTGATGTTTTTGGTCATTTTTTTTTGGTTCATTAATTTGGCCCAAGACAGTGCACATAAATTTGTCGCACGTCCACTACTTTATAATCTAGCATAATGCATGTGATAGTTTGAGTGGGCATCTGATATCTGTGAATATCGCCCATTTACATTAATGTTGGATCAGTGCTATTCTAGTCTGCGTCATGTTGACAAGTCGCCACTTAATATCACAAATTAAATATAGAACAAATAGACTTTTCAGATTTTAATGGAAAGCAAAAGACAAAGTTCACACAACATAGACAATATGAATTGCTTCTTGTTCATGGTTGTTTGGACTGTCCTTGAGCCAATGGCTGTTCATATGCATATGAATCCTGTCTTGTCATACAAATTTGTTGTGTGTTAAGTTATTTGTTGATGTTAGTGTTAACTGGAGTCAAAGGGTGATACTGGTAATACAAATTTCCCATATATCTTCCATGGGCAGTTAAGATAATAGTAAAGAGTGTATTTTTATTCAGGCACATGTTTAGCATTTTTTAATTTTCTTCTAAAAACAGGCTTACAGCATGTCATATTTTTACAATTTTTTTTTCTAAAAAGCTAAAACAAAATAAATTTTCAACTGAGTCTTGGGCTATTTTTATTTACACTCTGTATGGAATTCAAATTTGTTGTGTTACTGATCCATGTTATTTTGTTCTTTGGTTCAATTCAAAATAGCTGACAGGTGGCCATTTTGTGTTATTTTTTTTCATATCCTACATAATCCATCTCTGACATTCTTTGCCAAACTCAGTACAAAGACAAGATAGAATGTTATTAATATTAATTTGTGATTTTATTTGATTTGATTATATTCATATACATATTGACTACATTTCTGCAGTAAAGTCCTGTTTTCAATTAATCTGGTTGTGAAGAGCACATGTGATGGGTTACTAATGCAAATTATTTTGTTTCACAAGATTACTGCTAAATGCTCAAGATTTAAAATTCTGAACAGAGTCTTTTATTGCGAATGCTTGACTACTTCAGGGTGTTGTAGAACCTATTCATGGAGCTTAAAACAGGAAATTGTTTTTGATTCAATGCTATCATGATCACTGCCAAAATTGCTTTGGGTAAAACTATTTTTATTAGATTTGATTCTGATTATTTAGAGATAAAAGTATCTCATCTGTACATTTTGTAAGGTCAATTAAAGCATCACCGTGTGTTAGGAATTGTGCTTGATAAGGATGTGTATATTGAAACTGAAAGCCCAATTCACAAAGTGGAGCGAACACCATATTAGTCATCTCATTTTTACCTATGCCTCAATGGCCACTTTATCTATGCAAGTTTAAGTATGTCAAAAGTGCACCCCCCAATTTGTAATTGTGAAATTTCTATTAAAACGATAACATCTATAATTATAATTTTACCTGGCCCCATGGATTTAATTTAGCAAATTTCAGTCATAAGTAAAAATAGCAAAATATAAACCCTATGAAACCTTTATTGCATTTACAGAAATCTATCACAGATGGCACCATATTCTAAAGCGTATTTGTTGTCCCTCTATGATATGATTTCATTCATCTTTTGTTTCCTTATTTATTTTATTCCTTGATCTATATATTTACTTGGTAAATAATGTACCACTCCTACCCTTTGCTATTTCACTACAAAAATAATCTGCTATTCTTGCCAATAAACAAGGAAGTATTACCATGCCTGTGTTCATATTTTTAACTTAGAAGCTTGTAGATTAATAATTATTCCTTTTGCACAAAATATATCTGTAAAAGTAATTAATCAGGTGACTTTTTGTGTTGCTTTCACACTTTAGTGAGAGAATGTGCTCAGACACTTTACATTTTGCATGAAGATAACTTGAGTTATTCGTTAGCTGGATGCCTTGATCTTTATTATATTTTTGAATCCATGGTAACATTTAAAACATAACAGTTAACACATTATGTGTGATCTAGCATATATCGTAAAATGGCAGCTATTTAAGGCTAAAATGCATCCAAGTCACACATTTTCACCAGATACAATGTATGCATTTACATCAGCATTTATGTCAGGATTTTTCAGCCGTGTTTCTAAATAACTGCAACTAACTTCAGTTTGCATTCTATCTGCAATATGAGTGTAACCACCAAAATAAATAATAATAATAAGACATGAATGTCATGTACAGAATATTATGTATGCATACATATGCTATTTTTCACAAAAAAGACTATTACCAAGTACAGCATCGAACATTTGATGAACAGTAATTTCCTGTTGCCTGGCCTAATTTCAATTTCCTCAAAAGTCCAAAAGGCGTTGAAATGAACCCTAACAGACACAATTTAAGTTAATTTTCAATTCATACCCAAAAAATTTGTCAATTTTTGTTCCAATCTTCTGAAGGAAAGTATAGACTATAGACGGGACTGTTTTTGAATTTGTGTGAAAAGAGGAAACTGGTGGTGAAAAGGTTAAGGAAGTTCAATACAGTTTCATTTTTCTTATGTAATTATAGGGCACGCAATCCATGCTCATTCAAATACATGCTCCTACGAGAGAGTCAGCATAATGCCAATTTGGAGATACCGACACTCTGTTTTGATGTGGGGGGTGGGGGTGGGGGCGGTACGTTCCCACCAGACGTATTAAGTATAACTTAAAAAGGTAACCTGAGTTTAACTATGTTTGTGATATTGTTTTCCATGCCATTTATCTTCAGTCAAATGTGCAAGTATTCCATTACCTACTATATAATGACGTAGAGATTAGATTTAACTGTCTGAGAATTCCTTCTTAATTGTATAAGTATGTCGATAAAACTGATTTTATATAGTGTCTTCACTCTGCAATAAAATCTGTTCAGTTTGACTACACTGATAAAAGTGTTGCTTTCAGTCCCTGACCTTTTAGAAAGTAATTGACGATGACTTGTCAATATGTTAAACTCACATAAAATCTAAAAATATCTCATTACAAGTCAAAGGTTTTATTTTAAATTCATGATTGTACATAAATTATGTGTAAAATCCAGTCTGTGGAGTATGAAAGGGAAATCAGAGCATTACACCAACACTTGTTGTATAGCAAGCATGTAGTTAAGTGTATACGTAGAGCACACAGGATGTACATCCGTAATAATTAGCCTGACCTCTGACCTGTTACACACTGTGGTTCTCATGATACCTGTGGTGAGATTCTGTGTCGGACATTTCTGCATATTGCTTGGCGGCCACGCTGTACATGTATCTACAAATATGACTACTGTTAGTCTGATATGATTCACTGCTTTCATGAGGATCAAATATCAAGGATATTTATATGTGCATTTGACATTTCAAAGGTTTTCATGAGTCTGCTGCTGAACTGCTTCCGTCATTGTGTATTGTAGAGTCTAGTGACTTCGGGTGCTGGCATTACCACGCTTGATATGCCCTAGCTGTTCTCGCCTAAGACGTTGCAGTGAATCTATTGTAGATATCTGAATGACTAAAAACACCACAGGCATTATATCTGAAGCTACAAGATGCTTCAACCAGTTGATTGTCTTCTGATGTGCCATTGAGCAGGACAGCAGTAAATTATCATTGATCATCATCTAAATATTGGTAGCTATAGTAACCAATGTTTTCTCTATCTTTACCCCAGTCTCCCATCGTCCAGGCGATTTTCCATGGAGACCCTGATGAAGTCAGAGCACTGATTTACAAGAAGGAGGACGTTAACACACAGGTAAGCATCCCTACTCTTTGTCACCAAGATAGTGATGCTGCATTCTTCACATTTTTATTGTCTGTTTGAAGGTCAGTTCAACCACTCACAGCTACATGTGGGAGTATCCCACCCAGCATCAAAATTTACATCATCTCTAAGGGGTTAACCACCAGAAATTCCAGGGGTTAGATTTGGAGGAAAATATTTTGCTCTGAAAAAATAGAAAACATTTGAAAAAAATAAAACTGATAAAATTGAAAGCTAATTAGCGTACAATATACTTAGATACAAATAATTTATTTGTTTACATTACCATACAGTACACCCCCCCCCCCATTATCTAATAGCCAATCCCTTAGGAATGGATTCTCTATGAATAATCTGTTTATAAACGTGTTTATGTTATGTTATGTTGTGGTAATTATCAAAAATAATTTTTTGTTGAATCCTTTAAAAAAGCATTAATTTTCTTTGATATTTCATCATTTTGAATATTTCATCATATTTACGTTCATAGTTTTTCTAGTGAAACAATAAGTTGTATTGAAATTCTCAAATGGTTTTAATTCACTATCTGCAAAAATGAAATAAAAAACCTGTGAATAGTATTAGATATCTTTTAATGAGTGTATTGTGAAGACAATGTATTCTAAACAAACTGAATTCATCTTGACAAATCAGCTTGTTTGTTGCTTGGAGCAATTGAAAGTTAACTAAGGACCAGTGTCCCATTGTTTGAAATGCCCCCCAAGCTTTTTGCTAAACAACAAACAATCAGCATGTCATTATGGATTCCATCAAGTGTAAATAATGTGGTCGGATTAATTTATGAAGTAGCTTAACATTTATCATAATTTTCATATTTAGGATTCTATTGTCACAGAAATTAGCATCTAAAATGAGCTTTATTGTGCTGAACTTTAACCTTGTGGTGTGGTAAGGTATTTTAACACTTGAGTTGATATGATAGCTGTACTATGTGCAGTAGTTTGTCAACAAAATTCTGTTCATACATGTTTCAATGATTGATTGGTATTAAATTCTAATAAAAGTCCAAATAGTGAAAACATGTAAAAGTAAAAATGATTTATTTTGTTTGATATATTATTTTTTATTTTAAAAGTATCAGACAGACACTATTAACTAATTGCAGCTGGTTAATTCACTTATTTAGCGGTAATTTTATTTAATAATGTTACCTAACTAGCTTAGCTTTGAGTGATTACTTGAGCTAATCAGTCTGAATGACCTTTGCTGAAAATAGCATCAAGTACCGCCAAAATTATTAAATGACATTCAATAATACCTACCAGCCTGTTATATTTAGATGAATAATTTGAATAATGTTCATATAGCATACGTTTGTGTCATAATATATATATATATATATACATAGGATTCTCCACTTCTCTGACGTTTTATATTTCACGTACGTAGATTCCTATTTTAACTTCTGAATTATTCATTTTTTTTACTTGAGATTTGTAGAGGTGAATCACCTGAGTTTTGTTCTCAACACGTGATTGCATCTCTGACTGTTAAAAACTCAAGTACTTTGTAGTTTTGCATAATTACGTCATAATGCATTTAGATTGTCTTTTTGTTTGAAATGCCAAAAATTTCTGCAATTTTAGTTTGTAATTGTGTATTATATGGTATTACATAAATTTGTCGATAGCCTGTCCAAGCTATGAAAACCCATTTTATTAAATTTGACATCTTTTTATCTGACCTGAGCTTTTGCACTTATGTATGCATATAAGAAACGTGCTGCATGTACCCACAGCCTATTATGTGAATGTGTTCCCTAAATGTATTTGATGTTGATAAGCAGGGAAATCCAGCACCTATGCTAATAATGGCATACTGTAGAATACTTATTTTCGCTTAGAATTAATTTTAGCTATTTTCGCTGAAAAAATGATTCAGTGAAAATAAAATCCAGTGAATATATCATTATTCCCATATTTTTACATTCAACTCATCAAAAATCAGTGAAAATAATTTTCATACAAAACACCCAAAAGGTCCATACAGCAAAAATTAATTCCAGCTAAAATAAAGTATTTCACAGTAAGTACTACATGCGTGTAGTTTATAATTCTGATATTAGATGTTAATGCTCATTTTTGGTTTTTTTTCCTAATATTTTATTCACATGGTTCTTGGAGATTATAGATGTTGTCTGAGACCCATGATAGGTGGATCCCAAGTTCAAATCCACCACTCTTCTGAAAGAGCATGTGAAAGCCAATTGTCAAGATTCATGTGACAATAGGGATGAACCTTTGTTACCCTTTTCACCAATAGACTTTCTCACCAAAATTTTCCTGCTCTCTTTTCTCATTATATACTTAATATTTTTCGTAATTAAACCCAGATGTTGGAGCTAACAGACAAAATTTTAGTAAATTTTTAGTTTCAATCAAGATTTTCAGCAATTTTTGTCCCAATCTTCTGTAGGAAAATGCAGACTATAAACAGAACGTTTTGTGAATTTGTGATGGAAAGAAGAAACTGGTGGTGAAAATGGTTATTAATGTGTGCAGATGCTTGTGGCTGGAGAGACAAAAGTGACATTCAATGGCTGGAATAAACATAAACAAAAATTGTGCAGTTTTATTTGATGAATTGCGAGAAATTTTAACTTAGGTGTTGAAAGTGTTAATGACATCGTTGGCATGCTGGGCATTATGTATCATCATCACCCCCCCCCCCCCAAATGAGCAATATTTCAGATCAGAAACAAAATTTTATCAAAATTGTATTCTATCCAAAATAGCACTCACATTTTTTGAATCAGTCCAGTTTTGAGAAAACTACACTTGCAGTTGAACTCGCAAGGTGCAAATTTAATACTCACTTATAAATTACATTGTATTGAGTATGTACAAGTATTGTGTAAATTGTTAGCTATGTATGATGAGTGCTGTTCAGGAAGCATATGCTTATTTCTAGGTTGAAATGCAATTATTTTATTTTATTTATAGGACATGGAAAGACGATCACCACTGCATGCAGCGGCATATTGTGGCGAGTCAGAAATTGTAGACGTTTTAATTCAGAGCGGTAAGTTATCTTTTGTTTTTATTGCTCAGTGAAGTTGCACTTGTGTAATTGTATATTCTGGAGTAAGTGCATTTGCATTTACTGTGCTGCAAAAACGATCATGAATATGCAATCTTGCATGGCAGTAAAGGTGTTATGTTTCAACGATGCAAGTTTCCAGCACTTTATATTGACCTTTTTGCAATCTCGGGTCTTTTTCTTTTGAAAACAGCTAGCTACAGCAGCTAAAAACGATTTAGAAACACTGTTACATGGAGTGATTAGGCGAGCTATGCTATTAAGATGTCTACAAAATTGCTTGAATAGCGTTGATGATAATTAGTTTAATAATTAATATGGGAGAATGATAGATGAGTGGTATGACAACTAACCTTCAAATGGCATGGCTTGCAATCAACATATAATGCCTATGTAGCTTCTTAATTTACTGAAAAAATTATTTTTTTTAGAACTTTCAGATTAATCAATTAAAACTAGCAAATGTTGCAGACATTGTTTAGATATGTTCGTAATAGGAAGTAGGAATCTGCAAGCCTGGTATCCAATCTCATAAAAAAAATATAAAGCATATCATATGTTATTTCAGTTAGGAAAAAATTTGAAGTACTACAAGTGTTTGATATCAGGGGTTGAAATACTCTGGTGCACACTGCACTATGCACATAGATTATTAGCTAGTGCAAGTAAACTCAAAATATAATGTGCACACTGCACTATGCACATAGATTATTAGCTAGTGCAAGTAAACTCAAAATATAATGTGCACGCTGTGCATGTAGAAATTAACACAACATTTCCTCATTATATTCACTAAGCCTAAATTAAGTTCAACCAATATTGTAAGACAACTAAAAAAAAAATTTGATTTAAACTTTAAAAGTGGTGCATTTCACAAGTTAGTGCAGGTAAATTTCAAATTCAACCTGCACACTGTGCATGCAGAGAATTTTTTTTATTTCAATCCCTGGATATATTGCTGAGTGAAAGGGTTCATCAAATAAAAGACAAAGCAAATAAAATGAGGTGGGTACAAAATTGATTTCCATGGACACGATGTCTTTGTCATTTCCCCAATACCAGTAGTATTAATCGCTATTTTGGCGGAGTTTTTAAATTGATAATTGGTCAAAATACCTGACTTGGTTTGAGTTTCTTTTTCAGACAAAATGTCAGGACATTTTTTATCAAAAGTGTGTTATTGTGTCACCTAAAATTTTATTATTGTTTTCTTATTTTATTAATTTGACCAACATTTAAAAATATCATTATTGACTTGACACAGTGTTTTGACCATGGCCTTCCATGGATACTACTTTGAACAACTAAATTAAAACAGTCATCAGGGTGTACCATGCCCTCTATCAGCCTCCCATTGCCATGCAAGCTTCTCTGTATAGTCCACAAAACACACTGAAGGTTGTGTAATAATTCATGAGGAAAACTACATTTTCACCAGCTAAAATAATTCAAAAATTGTGATTTTCAATAGACATATACATGATTTTTGATTGAATTTTTTCCCATCAGACGTATTATTAGTACCTTTACATTTCTATGAAATGTTTTATTGAGCATTATTTTGTTGAACCGTGAAAGTTGTCATCTGTGCATGCAACAGAGCCATAGTGTGTCATTGTTTACAAACAAGTGTCTTTTCATGAGTGTGTGAACTCAATTCAACTCAAGGACTCAATTCCTCTATGTGCACAGATGACAACCTCTTCCGCTTAAGTAATTGCTAAATATGTTCCGATTGAACGTTATTGTTTTAATGACTGCCTTAGGACGACTTGATATTGAAGCATTCCATCCTGATCAAATACTAGTAGTGCCCTTTAGTGTTAATTCTCCCTGATTCATATGTTAATTATTAATATTGATACATATGCAAATTATATATTATAATGCAAATTAACCCCGTGTTTGAGCATTTCCTTGGGAATGACACTGATTGAACTATCATTGAGCCCCTCTTACTTTTATGCTTGCTGGTTATATTGTGATATATACATAGATACATATTTTTAACCTGCATGCAGTAGTAAATCTTAAATTTAAATATACAACTAACAAAATATGTTTGAATTAACTCCCAATCCATTCAATTGATTGATTATAACACATATAATTGCTGGTATTACAGGTGCCCGTGTTAACACCAAGGATAACAGATGGTTAACACCTCTGCATAGAGCATGCGCTTCCAGAAGTGAGGTCAGTCTATTTTCTTACAATTGAGGTTTCATCATATTCACACATCTCTGAAGATCTATTATTAACCAATCACTGGTAGTTTAGTTGTTGTTTTACCCATGATGGGTGGAGTCAACATTTGGCCTTACACTGAACATAAAAAAAGGGATTGACCCATCTATCCCACTCAATTGGGAAGCCAAAGCGAGTAGAAGAGATTATCCCAGTAATACAATTTGAGATGCAACTTTGGAGGAACCTTGGATGAAGTCTGCTGCTGCTTGTGTTTGCCTGGCTGACTCCTGGATACTGGGGTAGCACATATCATAACATTTCATAGAGAGAGAGAGAGTAGGCTCACAGTCATGTTGTTCCAAACATGGATACAGTTTCTGTGGCTGAATTCACTGTGTATAATTAGCATTCACTCTTACAATAACAATATTCAAAAGAGGCAGCAGTAACACCCATTGTCTGTTTCTGTCATTCACCTGACAAAAGTAATTTTTAAATATAACATGGCAACACAAATGCTTTATTAGAATCACACATACATCAACAATTGCATTTATGGTATGCTGGATAATTAGTCCCCGTTCGGACAAAGTTCGAAAAATGGGACTTATAATTCGATCTCTGTGCGTCTGTGCGTCCGTCCGGAGTCATATCTCAGAATCCCTTGGACCGATTTCCTTCATTCTTTGCATGTGCCTAGTACTTTATGTGGGACATATGCACATGCAGTGGTTTAGAGATTCGATTCAAAATGGCCGACTGGCAGCCATCTTGTTTTTGAAAATGTTGTATTTTGGACATGCTTTGTCAGTTTTCATTCAAACTTGGTACATAGATTATACATGTTAGGATACATGTCCATGACGATTTATTTCACAATTGGATCAAAGATGGCCGACTGGCAGCCATCTTGTTTTTTTGAAAATGTTGTATTTTGGACATGCTTTGTCAGTTTATATTCAAATTTAGTACATAGATCATACATGTTAGGATACATGTCCCCGACCGTCCGTGAGTTCCTGAGTTTGTCCGTCCGTGTGTCTGTGTGTCGGTCTGTCCAGAGTCATATTTCAGAATCCTGTGGACCGTTTCCGTTCATTCTTTGCATGTGTCTAGTACCTTATTTGGGACATGTGCACATGCAGTGGCTTAGCGATTCGATTCGAAATGGCCGACTGGCAGCCATCTTGTTTTTTGAGAATGTTGTATTTTGGACATGCTTTGTCAGTTGTCATTCAAACTTGGTACATAGATTGTACCTGTTAGGATACATGTACATGATGATTTATTTCGCAATTGGATCAAAGATGGCCGACTGGCAGCCATCTTGTTTTCTGAAAATGTTGTATTTTGGACATGCTTTGTCAGTTTATATTCAAATTTAGTACATAGATCATACATGCTAGGATACATGTCCCGACCGTCAGTGAGTTCCTGAGTTTGTCCGTCCGTGTGCTCGTCCGTCCGTCCGTCCGTCAGTCTGTCCAGAGTCATATTTCAGTATCCTGTGGGTCAATTCCGTTCATTCTTTGCATGTGCCTAGTACCTTATTTGGGACATATGCACATGCAGTGGCTTAGCGATTCGATTCGAAATGGCCGACTGGCAGCCATCTTGCTTTTTGAAAATATTGTATTTTGGACATGCTTTGTCAGTTGTCATTCAAACTTGGTAGATAGATAATACATGTTAGGATACATGCCCAAGACGATTTAT